TACGTACTACGTTACGTTACGTTCGTACGTCGGTACGTCGTACGTACGTACGTACGTACGTACGTACGTACGTCGTACGTACGTACGTACGTAGAGAGAGAGAGAGAGAGAGAGAGAGAGAGGAGAGAGAGAGAGAGAGAGAGAGAGAGAGAGAGAGAGAGAGAGAGAGAGGCTTGAATGTGGTGAAGAAGATGACAGAGGATCCCCTCCTTATATAGGCCCTAGCGGCCCATCCAAAATATTGACTCATCATGAGTTCATGACCAATAGGATTTTAGATAATCTACGAGGTGAGAGAAATAAATCTGAGTCATCCATTCTATGAATAAACTATCACGATTTAGGGAGGAATCTAGGAACCTTATTCCCTAAATCTTGTTAGAAAAATAAACCTTGCTCTGATACAATGTTGGAATTTTGCAATTTGTTTAAAACATGAGATGTGGGAGGAGAAAAATGGAAGTCACACGACAATATTAGAAAGCATATTTTAAGGAGGCTTTAAAATAGAAAGAAATGAAATAAGATGGGAGGCATGTCACTTTGAGAGGGGATTAACTTTATTAAAAGATAACGTGCCACAACTTAGGGACGAAAATGCTCAATCATTACATGTATTCAAATAGACACAAATATATATGGAAAAAGTTTATATAATTTTGCAACCTTAAAATGTATAATTAAAGATGCACCTCAACAACCTATCATAAGAGGTTGTTTGGACGTTGGAAAATCCTCTAATTGATCACCTCGACAATGAGATGTATGAATATGAAAAGAAAAAAAGATTTCGAGTCCGTGAAATAGTGTATCTTGCAACACATTATCTGGACTGTCCATTTTCAAGATTTTCATGTGTTTAGATCTACTTGATTTGAACCGTTTTGAGAGTTTAAAATTTTATACTTAGAGATAAAAATAGATTCTCAAGCCATCCTAAGAATTTTTTATATTAAAATTACATTTAATAAAATTTAGATGTGCACCTTAATTGGATTGTTTAAGGTTGCAACCTTATGCAAACCACACCCAATATATATTGATAAACACAAACTAACAAGGTAACTATAAGAGGGAGATGCTATGCAGCAAAGCTCCTAGGGTAAGAATATGTAAGAATACAAATAATAAAATAAGAGAATATTTAAAACTAAATTAAGATAAAACGAAAACAAACAGAGTAATAAACACATGATCTAGCAATGACCTAGTAGCACAACAACATGATTATTCATTCTTATAATTCTCTTACTTATGTCAAAAAAGGACACCATCCAAGTCACTTGGTAATACGATGCCTGCTATAAATGTTTCAAAATTAACAATAAGTTTTGACTATTGCCTTCTTTTTGAAGAAAACTGACTTCTAATATTTTCAACTAAGACAGCTTAGAAACATAGGAAGAGGATGTAAAAGTGTGATAGGTTAGTGAAAGAATATAATATTAAATTTTAAGGACATTATCGAGAAACGTACCCGACTAAAGTACAGCACAATGCTATAAAGAGAAGTACAGAACCCAAGCAGTTGAGGATTCTTCTGATATCAATGATTCAACAAGAGCTGCTAAGCCATCGACCTGTCACAAGGATTCACAACCCTGAAATGCAATAATAATGTGAGTTATAAAGTTCAGCACCAGAAAATCTTCCAGGAATCCACCACAGGCCAAGAATCAAATCAACAACAAACCCTAGCTCTTAAGCAGAGAAGAACTAAATGTTCATCTATGAAGCTTCAAAGCTTGAATCCATTTAGCCTTGCTGGATCTGGTATCCTGAACCTTATATAAAGATGTTGAGAGGTCATACTCACATATCCTGAAAATACCATTGAAAATCCATTTCACAGGCTCAGTCTCACTGACATTAATAATGTTTTAGTCTGCAACACCAATAATACATGCTCACCAACTCTAAAAGATTCAATACAAGCCATCAGCCTCAAAGTTAACTAAGAAAGCAAACAGATTTGAAGCAACTTTCCATTATGGTCAAGTAAAATTGATTACAATCAACTCACTCTTGTACACTGGATACAAAAGCTAGTTTCCTGATCAAAATCAGGTTGCAACATATATTAACACGCACATGCAAAAAAGCAAATCCCCATGTTTCTCCTAAGAGATACATGGAAGCATAGAAATTTGCTAGAGGGTAAACTACAACACCCCAATACGATAAATTAGAACATCAATTTTTTCCTCAGAAGAGTGACCACCATCTCCTAGGTCTATTCATATGATGCACGTCCCTCGAGGAGCTGCCAGAAGTTTCCCTAAGGTCTCGTTGTCTAGCACCCCTGAGTAGCCTTCCCTCAGTCAGAGGATTCCCAAACCACAAAACAAGAACAATACCAACAATGCTAACAATAGGAGCAGTTGCTAAAAAGAACCATCCCCCCCTTGCTCCACGTTGCCTTGTTGAAGGGTTAATAGAATCAACTGTGTTAATTAGAGGCCCTTGGTCCACATTGCCAATACCCAAAGACATCCTCTCAATCCTATCATCACTATCAGCTAAATTGCCAACATCTGAAATTTCCAGAGCATCTTCTATTCTAGCACCGTCAAGAAAACCCAACTGCAGATTGCCACTTTCTCCACCCTCAGTTTCATCCAAGCTATTGGATGGACCAACCTCAGTCGGGCCCTGTTGTTGAAGCCCATGAACTGCAATTCCACTGTATTGCTTTCCTTCTTCATATTCCACATCATCAGTGGGAAGCTCATATCGACAAACGGGGCATGAGTTCCTTGAATTCAACCATGGCAATATGCACAATGGATGATACAGGTGCAAACAGGGAAGTTGATTTGCTTCAGTGTCTTTGGTTAAAGGATCTTTACATACTGCACATATCAAGTTTCCGTGCTTCTCATGCTCCTTACCAATTACTACCTTAGGCAAACTGCCAACAAAAGATGCAGAGGCTGGAGGTGCGCCCCTTCTAGAGTTATCAGTTTCAGCAAGGTGCTCAAGTAGTTCTTCAAAGCTTCTTGAATCAAGATCATCTCCAGAATTCCCAACATAAGTTGGCATATCATTTCTCTCCAAAAATCGAGAAATGTTAGGAACATAGGGTTGGACATTCAATCTAATACCATCTGCTAGTTCTAGTCTCTGGCGAATCCTCCACCGAGTTCGTGGAGAAGGAATTCGAAGCTCCCAATCCCCAGAGCCATTATTAGCTTCATCAGCACTTAAGGCACCCCTAGCCCAACCATCATGTCCAGTAGTTTCAACTGCCTCTTCCTCTCCATCTGCTTCTACCCATTCACCATCTTCATCTTCCACATTAGAATCCCACTGGTCCAGGCCTGCATGCATTGGGTCAATGTCGGTATCGCTCTCTGCCGGACTATTACCGTCATGGTGGAGAAACATGTCCCTATCAACAAAGCTTTGCCCATCTAATGATGCATCTGAGTTTGCCCCATAAGCACTGTATGATACACCATCACTCTCCCCATGAAAAGCCCCATACCCACTGAAACTGGCATTGGTATCGCTCTCACCAAAAAGGGACTCCACATTATCAAAACCCTCACTTTCATTATCAGAATAAGCCCTTCGCCTTCTTTGCCACCAGCTAAGAGCAGAATAGGGACTAGGGTCTCGTTGCAAGGTGTTACCATCAACATCCAGGTGGAGCCCATGATCAGAAACCATAAAGTTATGCTGAGTCTGCCTTGCCATGTTAATTAAATGTGAGAATTCTTGTGAAAAGATGTCATCGATAGACTCTGAACTTCCAATATAACCAGCTCTATTTCTACTGCGTATTCTTCGGCGGGAGTCCCTTGTGGTCGTATTGAGATCATCAAGAAACATGATTCTGCATGAATTGCATATACATAGTGCTTCAAAGCCCTGTACCATCTCGTTATCGGATGAGAAGACACGTCTGCATATTTGGCAGCACCCATCTGGTTGATTAGATGGGTGAACAGGACCAGCACTGGCTTCTCCATGCTCACGTGGCTGAGAAGATTCTTGAGGAACCCATGGCAGCCCTGTGTCCATTCAAATCTGTAGCAAGCATGGCAATGCACAAAATACAAAGTCAATTGAAATAGATAAAAGAGGATCAGAAACTGCAATTGAAAGATTAGTACGTGAAATACCTTTTTGATGAGCAATGGAGAAAGTATGAAAGCAGGCAATCAAGCCATAAGACCCTGAAAGAAATGATGTGTTCCAAGATCAGCGCTAAGAAAGTGCAGCATATATAAATTATATACATAGTAGAGAAGAATGATTTCTCTTATTCCTATGCCATATTTGCTCCAAGCAGAAATGCATTGAAGAGGCCAGTTAGCTTTCCTGTAATTTTTTACAGTTCTTTAATTTTGTACTATATTTGTTTTTTAGCCTGTGCAACCACGGTACAGTACCCATAACAACAGTCTGAACACCTCAATGAACCATCACCTCAATAAACCATCACTACAAACACCAAAAATTGGTCACCAAAACGAGACCAAACATATCATCAAAATCAAATAACCAAAACTCGGCGAGTCCTACTCGAAATCACTCACCCGAGTCATTCAGACTCAGTGGGCTGCCAAGTCAAGAACCAAGAACATGGGAACCGGCCGAGTCTTTCCAGTTCCCAATATTCTATATCATTTCTTTAAGAACTCGAATGAGTCTTCGGCCAAGCCAATTTTCCTCACTTGGGCTTGGGAACTGGTCCTTGTTTTAAACACTGTTACAAATAATGACCACCGAGAAATGACAGCCGCATCACAGGAGGTAACATCGACTGGGAATTTCTGTTTGAAAACTCGTACTAAGGGGGCCACTTTAATGAACTAAAGCAAAACACACAAATAAACCATGATCATAAGACCTTCGATTTAAACAGTTAACCATCAGAGTAAGAGAAGAAAAAAAGAAATAAAAAAATTTCTTCGAATAATGTTTTAATGAATAGAGCCAAGATAAAAATGTCAGAAAACAAGCATTCAACAAGCACATTGCACAATACTGAATATTCAACTGGCCACGTGAAAAAGAATGTAAAAAGGCTGAGACACTTTAATCTAAACTTACTAAGATTAATTGTTCGCCTAAAACTACCGATTAAAATTGATTGCTAGTCCTAAATCTACTCAGTATAATGACTGTCAGCCAAAAACTTCCCCCAATTAGAATAGATATCGTTGACATATCATCAGTAAACATTGCTGATTCCAACAAGACAAAATAAGCAAATTCACTGTCGCAAATTTTCACATAAATAAAACATACAAAACAATAAATAAAACTGTAATTGCAAGAAAATAGTAAAACTAAATGCAAAATAAAACCCCAAAATTAAATCTCAGAAATTGACCATGGCGTGAAGCTTCAATGAACAAAACTGACAGAAAACAAATATCACCAAAAATACAAAAATCACAGACATCGAACCCTGGACCTAACATTTAATTGGGGAAAAAAAAAGCACAGTAATTTCCATACTTTTACCTTCGATTCCTTCAATGCTTGGATCCCGATTGAGCCCAAAGAGATGACCACATTGAAAGAATAAAAGAATGCTATCTTGAAATTCTTCACGGATGGAAGAAAAAATCCATAAAAAGAAACCCTACATCAAAAAAATACCCAAACATGTTACTTTTAGGCTAACAAAAAGGGGAAATTTTTAGGGAAAAAAGAAGAACCAGACGTGAGAACCTCGAAACCTTTTGATTCAATCAGTTGAAAAGTTGAAGTGGAATGTCTCGTTTTATATGTCCCCTTTTAAAATATTACGAAAATACCTCGGTAATCTGACATCTTTTAGTTGAAAAAAACGAAAAAGTCCTCACGTTTGGAAATAACAAAATTGGTCTCGCAAAGATTTTTAGTACCTTTTTTCGGCATTTAGGTGGGTAAAATAAAAATAAATGGGTGTGGTTTATACAGAGCCGACGTTCTAAACCATCAAAATAAAGCGCGCTTTCAAATAGTGTGGAAAAGTGTAGTTTCAATGTTTGGAAATCACTTTGATAGCCTTCAAATATATTTTTATCTTTAATTCGAAAATTTAAATCTTTAAGATTAGTGTAAATCGAGCCGTTCAATAAAAACTTCAAAATCTTGAAAATTGACAGTCCAAATAGAAACTTCAAAATCTTGAAAATTGACAGTCCAAAAATACGTTACAAGATGTACTATTTCCAAAACTTGAAATCTATTTTTTTCTCATGTCTATGCATCTTGATGTCGAGATGATCAATTTGATGATATTTGGGCTTCAAAACAACCTCTTCTAATGAAAATTTTGAGGTGGGCTCTGATTTGATTGTTTAGAGCTTCGACTCAAGATAAACTTTTTCCAAAATAAATAAACAAAGGAAGTTTTATGCTGATATTTGTTATTATTTATTTGAATTAAAAATCTATACCCCATGTGTCATGTGTTTTATTTTAAGCTCATGTCCTTGTTTTTTAGTTTTTCTATTTTTTTCAAAATGAGTCGATTCATACTTTCAAAATCCGAACCCAAACCACTAGCAAATTGGCTCTAATTTTCAAAATCTAGTTTAGAATTGTTTTATGAGCGTCTTAACAAATTGTTAAAAAATAAAATAAATTTGGGATTTTAAAAATTCAAGCCGATAGGTTTATAAAAATCAATTTTAAATTTTATTTTTCGAATAGATTTGTTAATAATTTTGGTTTGATTTGAAAAATCCGATCCAGTTGCACACTTGGGGAAAAAAATGAAAAGTGTGAACATGAGTGTAAATCACAACTTATGGGGTAGATTCTTAATCGTGAGATAGTGGGGGATATTAACGTAAATTTTCTATGAATAAATGAAGGAAAAAATTTATATAATTGCGAGGCTCTAACCAATCAAATTAGGGCCCACCTCAAAAATTTCACAAGAAGAGGTTGTTTTGATGCCCAAATATCTTCAAATTTATCATCTCGACCTCAAGATTCATGGTCAAGAGTAAAAAATGGATTTCAAGTTTTGAAAATAGTGCATCTCGTAATACATTTTTGGACTATCAAATTTCAAGACTTTCAAGTTTTCATGGATACGCTCGATCTACATTATTTTTCAAGATTTAAATTTTATAATTAGAGATAAAAATATATTTTAAGGCTATCACAAAGATTCCCAGTATTGAAACTTTGATGATGTGGGGGCCCCGGGGGCATATGGGCCTTGTGGGACCCTACGGTCCTACAACATTTTGTTTCTATCATTCGAGATAGGTTTTTGCTTCTTGGTTTTCATGGCCCTATCCGTGGATTTTCATGGGGTTTACTTAATATTTATGGTCCCACTGATTTTGCTTCTAAGGAGGCCTTTCTTAATGATATGGAATCTGTTATTCACAAATTCAATCTTCCAGTATGTATTGGTGGTGATTTCAACTTGATAAGATGACTTGATGAATGTTTTGCATGCTCGACTATTAATTCGTCTATGCGGCTTTTTAATCATTTAATTGAAAGTTTGTCTCTTATGGAATTACCTACTGTTGGGACCAAGTTTACTTGGTCTAATAATTCTATCTCTTCCCTGTCTATGTCAAAATTTCATAGATTTTTGGTCTCTCTAGACTGGGCTGAGTCCTTCCCTTTGGTCTCGATCAAAGCCATCCCTCATCTTTCTTCGGATCATACCCCTTTGTTACTTTCTACTGCCTTGGAAAGAGGGGGTCCTAAACCATTTAGACTGGAATTGGGTTGGCTGGAAGATAGTGTTGTCATTGAACTAATCACCTCCACGTGGCAGAATTCGTTTTTTAGTTGGCTCCATAGACTTCCAACTGCATAAAAAACTCATAAGCATCAAACATAAGCTTACTGCATAGAATAGATAACATGGTGGAAATGATAAAGCTAAAATTGATGATCTTTTAGAGGAGATTGCCTTCTTAGATCACCAGGTTCAGCAGGTTGGTTCCTTGTTTATCGAGCTCTGGGAGGCAATAAAATCCAAGTTAAATGAATTCCTCAGCCTTCGTAAAATTGAGGAATTATATTGGAAGCAGAGGTCTAGGATCAAATGGCTTAGGGCGGGTGATTTGAACACTAAATTCTTTCACTCTACAGCTAGTGCGAGAAGAAGATAGAACAACATCTACAGCCTCACTATCTCAGGTGTGGAGACTGATAATAGCAATGCTTGGAAGGAAGCTATTGTTTCACACTTTAAGAAGGTATTTTATTCGAAAAATTAAATTTACCCCTATCTTATCCAAAGTGCCTTTTAGATTTCAGCTAACTCAAGTGCCTTTTTTGGAACGTGATATTTCCTTAGAAGAACTTAAGAGGACAATCTTTTCCTTTCAAGGTGACAAAGCTTCGGGTCCTGATGGATTCCTTTTGGTGTTCTTCCAAAGATTTTGGGACCTCATAAAATTGGACATTCTCTAAATGATCAGAGATTTTATGCGTTGAGGTGAAATTTTAAAAGGGGTTAATGCCACCTTTATTGCTCTGATCCCTAAAAAGTCTACTATTGCGGAGTTGTTTGACATCCGACCTATTAGCTTATTATCAAGTCTCTACAAGATTTTGGCAAAGGTTTTGGCCAAAAGGTTGAAACCCGTACTTTCTTCTCTCATTTTACCCAATCAATCTGCTTTTGTCCATGATCGCTAAATTATTGATACTATCCTGGTTGCCCAAGAATGCATTCACTTTAGAGTGCGAAGTCAAATTCCTGGAGTGGTTATTAAGCTGGATCTTGAGAAGGCTTATGACCGAGTTGAATGGAGTATCTTGTTGGCGATTCTTAGAATTATGGGTTTTAAAGAAAAATGGAGGAGCTGGATTTTTGGGTGCCTTTTATGCCCATTTTGTAATCCTTGTTAAAGGCTCTCCTGCTAGATTTTTTAAGGCAACTAGGGGTCTTCGCCAATGAGATCCCTTATCTCCTTTCCTTTTTTCTATCCATGCAGAGTGCTTTAGTCTCATGCTCCAGAACGTTGGCAGATTTACAGGCTTTAAAGTGTCTGCTTTAGGTTCTCTCGTTTCCCACTTACAATATGCAGATGATGCTCTCATTTTATGCGATGCTTCAGAGGCATAAATTTCTAATCTTGCCTGTTTGTTGGATTGTTGTGAGGCACCTTTGGGAATCAAAGCCAACTATAATAAGACACTTCTTTTTGGAATCAATTGCCAATCTCCTTTGCCCCTGACTTTGGCTGTGCAGTTGGCTCCTTTCGTTTTTATTATTTGGGCATTCTTCTCTCTCTCTAGACACCCTATCTCAATTTGGGACAAGATCATCCAAAAGATTCAAGTTAAACTAGATCTATGGAAGCTCAAGTACCGCTCCATTGGTGGCAGATTGACTTTGTTACAATCTTGTCTTTCAAACTTGCCGATTTATCTCATATCACTCCTGCAGATGCCAGTCGCAATAATTAAGAAAAAATGAAGTGATGATGCGAAATTTTATGTGGGGTTCCATTGGGGAGGTTCGGAAATTTCATTTGCTCAGATGGGATCGTGTTTGTACCCTCAAGACGGAAGGTGGTTTAGGTATCCGCAAACTTAAATATATGAACGAGGCATTACTTTGTAAATGGTGGTGGAAGATTTTCCAATGTCTTAACCATCTCTAGGTGGAGGTCCTTTCTTCCAAATATCGAAGGGATATATTTGGTATGTGGATTGCAGGAGGCCGCCCAGATGAAGCGTCTTTCGTGTGGAAGCCCATATTTAGGTGCAGACCGATGATTGCTAGTCACTTTCGCTAGAATGTGGGGAACGATTGGCAAATTTCATTTTGGCACCATAAGCGGTTGGGGGAGGTTCCTTTGAAGTTGAGCTTCCCACTACTTTTTGCTAAGGTGCTCCATCTGAATGCCTTGATTGCTGATATGTTCGAATTTGCAGGTACCAATGTGAACTGTCATATTACTTTCCCATACAATTGTATTAGTGGGGAGTTTGATAACCAGTGGTTACTATTGTTGAACCTATTACACTAAGTTTACATCTCCCCCGACGATCATTTGGACGATCACGTGAGGGAACTGGAAAGTGATGGCCTCTTCACGGTGAAGTCATGTTATAGACTTCTCTTTCATGACAGATGATGATGGTTGCTACTTATTGCACCGAAGGTTTGGAAGCGGCTGATTCCTCATGAGGTTTAAGTTTTCATCTAGCTTGCCATCCCAAATAAGATTCTAACGGTCGACAATTTGATAAAGAGAGGTAAGATTTTACTTAACATTTGTCTTATGTGCAAAATTGACGAGGAAACATGTAGTCACCTCTTTATCAATTTCAAAGTTGCTTCCAACATATGGTATTGGTTATTTGGTTTACTGGGGCATCCAAGCCTCCCTTCCCTGATCGGTGATCAACAATGTCTCTTATTGAGAATATCATCATTTACTTGCTGGGGGCCTTAAGGTGTGGCAAATAGCTAGAGGGGTTGTCTTTTGGGAGATTTGAAAAGAAAGAAACCGATGTACCTTCGAAGGAGTGAGACTCTCGGATGATTGTGGCCTTTTTTATAATATAAAGCTTTCCATCTGACATTGGCTTTCGATCACTAAGGTTGGTTGAGGGCTCTCTCTCCCAGATGTAATCCTTAACCTACCCAACCTTTTTCTCTTGGGCAAAGTTAAGATGAGACCTTGTTACTTTTGGTCGCCCCCGAAGGAAGGGTTTTTCAAATTGAACTTCGACGGTTGCTCGTTTGGTAATCCAGGTTTGGCTGGGAT